ATAACGGTCGGTCCTGACCCCATCTCCCTCTCCCTTTCCCCATTTACAAAGCAAGGCACCGTGAAGAGGAGAAAAAAGGAAAAGGGGGGGAAAACGTAGCTACAGGATGATGATGATGATGATGATGATGATGTTGTTGTTGTTGTTGTCGATGTTGATGAATATGCAAGCGTTTCAATGATATAGGAGCTCGGAGTACGAGACTTCCAAAAGTGGACAATGTCAACACTGCGGACGGTCGATATACGGGACAGTTAAGCAAAGGAATTCTTTTTACACCGGGATTACCCTTTCATCAAAGCATAGTGGTCACACTTACTCCGATAGACGGGGAATTTGCATTTTATTTCATTTTACCATTACACACGTAACAGATTGGACGGGGAGCAGAGGATTTGGAAATTGATAGACTGATACAAGCGTTCGTGAAAACAATAGACAATAGCAATGGAAAAAGTGTCACAATGAATTTAAACCTGTTTCAATGTTATCACCCGCCCAGCGGCAGATGAAAAAAAAAACCGAGTCCCACCAATAGCAAAGCGTAGAGTTATCAACTGAATCGCAATTACAAAAACAATGATAACTTTGCAGATATAAATAAAACTTTATTGTAAAAAGTGATATTTATACGGTTCAATCATTCTAAATATAAGATTATACACAAGCTAAATATATGCAAAGTCTACTAAAAATATGTTTTTGTTACTTATTACACACAAATGAGAAAGAGAAAGAGAAAGAGAAAAGAGGAAAAGATAGCAGTACAACTTTTCAACTATTTAAAATTATTCGAGGGGGGAAAAGGAGGAAAAGTTTAGCTTTTCCCCCCTCTTTGAAAAAAAAACAAAACTTGCGTTTTCTTTTCCCTTCGTTATATATGTGTTATGCGGTGCGGTGACACTAACACCCTCATGAAGGAGGAAAGGGCTCCATTAATAACCGCCCATAAGAGGATGACGTCAAACGTCAGATTGATGTTATTATGATGATGATTATCATAGTACGAACAGCTTAACAACAGTGACAACTACAACAACAGCAACACAGCAAATATGAAATAACAATAACAATAACAACAACAAAGCGTTACCCCCTGCATTTTATTGGGGAATATTTGTCCTTGTCGTAAACACGTGGACAAACTAATGTCGTCCACTGGTCAAAGTCCGCTCCAACGATATCCAACGTTATTGGAAATAAAGGAACAGGGAGAGCCCGCGCATTTGACAATCATTTGTGTCATTATGTTTCATTTACACCCCGCAATTGTATATAATTGCTGACGAACCCGATTTTACAAAATCCACCACAGACAGCATTGAAACGCACCACGCACGTTCAACAACCAAAACAAGAGGATATTCGAATAATAACCCGGAATGAATGAAGCAAGTTGCAAATCTCACAACACGATCACCCCGCACAGAACGAACATCCAAAAAAGCGAGAAATGAAAATGTGGTGTCTTTGCATAATAAACATCTCGACTCTTGTTTTCAATGCTATTCTCTTCTCGGTTTGTCTTTAACGCGATAATATAATAATAATAGTAATAGTAACGATAATAACAGTAATAACGGTCGGTCCTGACCCCATCTCCCTCTCCCTTTCCCCATTTACAAAGCAAGGCACCGTGAAGAGGAGAAAAAAAAGGAAAAAAAAAAGAAAAAGAAAAAAAGAAAAAGAAAAGAAAAACTAACCCAATATTAATATCCTTTTTAAAATCGTTTGAAATGCATTAAATCGAGGCATGCACTATACTTCATCGTTTTTATTGGATAACTCCTCATGTACTACATAATCTGCTAAAATATCACAAATAAACCAAAAACATGTGAATCATCTATAGAGAAAAAAAACCATCCTTCCCAGATATCTTTAGTTTTACACCCTATATCGGTCAGCTACAATTAGTTTAACTCAAATATATTCACTTTATCGGCGTCCTTGGGTTAGAAAAAGACAAAAATACAACAACGAATAGAAAAGACATTGCACATCAATTGGAACCGGACCACAACCGTTTGAATTATTCTTACTATTGACGGAAGACGGACAGTTGTGATGCAACAAATATGAGTAATTCCGCCCCTATAGAAGTACCCGGGTATTTCAACTTGGTCGACATGGACCACCTCATACATATGATCGGTTTGTCCATTTCATTCATCTTGGATCCCTACTTCGTCCCCCCCTCCCGCCACGTACCTCAAACAACCCTTTCCCCCTCCTCCCCACTCTCTGAAAAACGCTCCACCACGCTTACCCTCGTTATTTTTCGTCGTTTTGGAATTGCCACAATGTCTAATCCTTTAATTTAACCTTCATATCAAAATTAGCCGATATGCTTGGTCGACTGATACTACACAACGATCAAATCCGTCTGACTCCCTCGAATCTGACACGATTCCACTCTCGCGCTCCCCCTTCAATCACAGTAATCGAATATCTCCATCGTATTGTACGTTTTACGTCACTCGAACGAGCTTGTCTGCTCATTGTTCTGATTTACATAGATAGAGTATGCGAGCGTCATCGAACATTTACGATATCATCGTTAACCGTGCATCGATTCATTATTGCCGCGGTTACGGTATCGTCGAAAGCCCTGTGCGATTCATATTGCACAAACTCGCATTATGCTCGGGTGGGTGGGATACCGACTCAAGAGCTGAATACGCTAGAGTTGGAGTTTTTGAATTTGATTGGTTGGCGGTTGATCTGTTCGGCTGAGATGTTACAGCAGTACTATGTCAATTTGGTTACGCAGACGCCTCAGTATCGTATGGTCAGTACAAGCGAGCAGCAACGACTGCGACAGCAACTAGAACAAGTGCACGAATCGCCGTCATTGCAGCCGCAACAGCAACAGGTACCACAACAGGAACAGGAACCGGGACAAGAACCACAACCGCAACAAGAACCACAACCACAACAACCGTCATTATCGCCTTCCCCAACACTATCGCCTTCCCCAACACTATCACCTTCACCGACACTGCGATCGTTTCAACAGCAGCAGCAATGGTCACCTCAGCATCAGCATCAGCAACGGTCACCACAGCATCAACTTCAACAATCACAAGGAGAGAATTACGATTCTGTTAGGTTATCCGCAAGAGTAGAGATTGATCGATTAGCTAATTTAATTAACCAAGAAAGTTCGCCTAGAGCATAAGGAGGGTTCGTGCTTGTACATAGTATTAAGTATCTTTTTTTGTCTCTGTCATATCATTCTACGTGCTCTTCATCACTTTTGCAAGTCTCCCATTGTACA